TTCCTTTTTTCTTCTATTTTTTTTCAAGTTACAGACTGTTGAAACTAACCTAACAATCGCTAAAAAAACGCTTTTATTTAGGTGTCTTAAATTTTTCCATTATTTTATGACCTTTAGATCGCGCTTTAGGGTCGCTATTTATAGAATTAGCATCCATCTTGTAAATAAATATGCTCATATGCTCATAAATATGCTCATGCGGTAGGCAGCGGCTTGGCTCTGCCCCTGGCATTGCTGAAGTCCATGGGCGACGGTAACCACTCACCATCAGGTGGGCCGTATGCTCGTCTGCCTACAAGGGCAATAAAAAAAAAATAAAAAAAAAATCATATTCTATCCATCATGACTAATGTAACCATGACAAACTCTTCTTTGAAAAGCCTACAGTACAAAGTTTGGACCGAAATGAAAGCGCGAAGATCATGACCAAAGAAAGCTTACGTTCCACCTCAAAACGTAAATTCCACGAACCAACAAATCGATCATATTTATTTTTTGATTTCAAATATTAACATTTATATTATGTACTAGCTGACAAGGCAGACTTCGTAGTGCCTCAATCGATAAATAAAAGACCTAAACTTTTGTATAAAATACACTTAAAACAAACAAAAGAAATCGGTCCGGCGGGGGACACATCAAAGGAAAAACAAAATTGTTATTTTTACTTAATTCCGAGCATTTTCATATTTATCTACCTTTTAAACCTCTGAACTTTCACAAATAATTCAAGACCAAATTTAGCCAAATCGGTACAGCCGTTCTTGAGTTTTAGCGAGACTAACGAACAGCAATTCATTTTTATATATAGTGAAGATATTAACATTCATATATTACTTTATGATTTTATTCATAAATATAGCCTCAAATCTTGATGCCATGAGAACTTTGACACAAGAATTTCCACATTCCAAACGCGACAAAAGAAATGTAACTACATATATGTGTAAATAAGTACTAAAAAGAAATCCAACTAATATAATTGTTTTGCAGAACTAGTATGCATGGTAGGGGTTTTATTGAGTTTATATCTACAATTCTCGGAAGCGATACTTCGGTTGAATTCATATTAATTATGATTGCAGCTCGATCGCCCCATTTGGTGTAGTGGTAAATGATTTTGTTCACTGTACAAAGGGCTTCGATTCTTATATCGGAGTTAGTATATTACTACGGTAGGTTTTGTTGTACGGGTCGGAATTTCTTATAGTTTTTCTGGTACCTTGCAACACAGAAGAAAATTCTAGATCAGATCTATTTTAAAAACGATAGTTGCCCTTGTAGGCGGAGGAGCATACGGCCCACCTGATGATGAGTGGTAACCGTCGCCCGTGGACTTAAGCAATGTAGGCAGCGGCCTGGCTCTGCCCCTGACATTGCTGACGTCCATGAGCGACGGTGACCACTTACCATCAGGTGGGCCGTATGCTCGTCTGCTTACGACGGCAATAAAAAAAAATAAAAAATGCCAGGGGCAGAGCCTAGACGCTTATAGATAGAAGCTTAGTTTACAATATTATTTCGGACGTTACTAACGAGTGACGACGATGGCATTGCTTAGTAAGCACAACATTCAAATGTCGAATACAAAATTTCATTTGACTGTGCCCGTGCCGTTTTAGGTGTTTATAGTTTAATAATAAAATTAGTTTAATAATATAATAATGGTGGGAGGACATCTTGTGAATCCGCACGGGTACCACCGCCCTGCCTATTTCTGCCGTGAAGCAGTAATGCGTTTCGGTTTGAAGGGTGGGGCAGCCGTTGTAACTATACTTGAGAACTTAGATATATCTCAAGGTGAGTGGCGCATTTACGTTGTAGATATCTATGGGCCAGTTAAAACCAGGTGGGCTGTGAGCTCGTCCACCCATCTAAGCAATAAAAAAAAAACAAAAAAAACTTAGTCTACACTCTTATTATGAAACTACTTAAGTCGGCAACTTCTAATCCCCATGACCTCACTTAAATAGTACCTAAGCGTTTTACAAAATTAACACACAAAACAAGATGACTCACATTCTGTTTACTTTACGAGAAAATCGAGTCTTGCTTAAACGTGCAATAATAATACTGTGTTATTGTCGGTATATACGTGTTTTCATTTCACTTACTCAATTTAGACGTGCGTCATGATTACAATTAAATGTGTGAATTAAAATCAGATTATTTGAAGGGCTATCCACGATTTAAACATGTAGGTATTCTTGGCTAGTTTTGTTGATATAGATTCACAGACTATTCATCTGGTTTTTTTGTGATCGCTGGAGCAATTGGATCGGAAACGTGGATGCGGTTTCAGAGTACCATTCGGTGCTGAAAAAAGCTTCCCTTCACGGAGCTTCTAGGACACTTTATCCTTCTGAAGCGAGGTTTGGAAAGTCTTTAGCGGAGAACGGCTATGAGTCACTCACGGATCGTTTGGAACCTCTGGGTCTGCGGAGGGACTTCGGTTCCCTCTGTATTTTGTACCGTATGTTCCATGAGAAGTGCTCTGAGGAATTGTTTGAGATGATCCCGTCATCTCCTTTTTATCATCGCACCTCCCGCTATCGGAGCAGAGTTCATCCATATTACCTGGAACCGCTGCGTTCATCGACAGTGCGTTTCCAGAGGTCTTTTTTGCCACGTACCATCCGGCTATGGAATGAGCTCCCCTCCACGGTGTTTCCTGAGCGCTATGACATGTCCTTCTTTAAAAGAGGTTTGTGGAGAGTATTAAGCGGTAGGCAGCGGCTTGGCTCTGCCCCTGGCATTGCTGAAGTCCATGGGCGACGGTAACCACTCACCATCAGGTGGGCCGTATGCTCGTCTGCCTACAAGGGCAATAAAAAAAAAGTATTTAACACCTGGCTTTAAGTGATTACTGGAGCAATTGCATTGGAAACGTGGATGCGGTTCAAGAGTACCATTCGGTCTGAAAAGAGCTTGCCTTCACGGAGCTTCTAGGACACTTTGTCCTTCTGAAGCGAGGTTTGGAAAGTATTTAGCGGAGAACGGCTATGAGTTACCGTGGACCTCACAAAATGGGTCGATTGCCGGTGCTTTCCTATTCAGATACTACAGACTTTCCTATTCCTGTACTACTTACAAATTATGCTTCAACTACCCTGGTCTAATTATGATACGACATTATATTTTATTGTCTTCAGAAGTTCCTTCGCCCGACATTAATATTAATTGACAATGAGCGCGGCTGTCAATCGCGTGTCTTCCTCGATTCCTGGAATATTTCGGTCACAGCACGCTAAAACCCTGATAATCCAGATAGGAAGTTACCAGTAAAATAGCGACGCACTGACCAGCACTTAGAAAAGTCAGTCAACAAAGTTCTCCGTGAGGCAATAGACAGGAATAAATGGAGAGTTTTAGACAACAGTTAGAAGACTATAGACATGATCTTCACTAATGAGAAAACGATTAGAAAGAGGCAACGATAACACATTAAAATCTCCTGAGACTATCATCCTTAGTCTACAACCCACTAATAATCTCCTACACTGTCATCCCTGATGTCGACACGGTTTTTTCAGAGAAAATGCTCTTAACACCGGTTAGGCCTATATACGTTGGCTATGCGTTAACCGGTCGCCGGAGCCTCAAACAATTTTCACGTGAGGCAGGACATAATACCCAAACGTATTATCTATCATCACAGTCGTTATACGCAGTTCAGTGTTATTTTCGGCTTTGTGAATCTCGCCGATTGCAAGGATACAGAAAAACATAGTCCTTCATACCAAACTATCCGTAAGATCAATCGATTCTTGATTATCACACATTCGGGACAGTACCTCCATGAGTAGATACCACCACCCTGCTTATTTCTGCCGCAGAAGTTCCGGTTCGAAGGGAGGGGCAGCCGTTTGTAAGATTTGGAACTCACATCTCATAGTGGGTGGCAGCAATTACATTGTCGTTGTCCGGTAACCACTTAAGAGAAAAAAAATTAAAAAAAAAACGAGTGAACGAACTTACTACCTGGTAAGTTCGTTCACTCGTTTTTTTTTTAATTTTTTTTATTGCCCTTTTAGGCAGACGAGCATACGGCCCACCTGATGGTGAGTTGTTACCGTCGCCCGTGGACTTCAGCAATGCCAGGGGCAGAGCCAAGCCGCTGTCTACCGCTTAATACTCTCCACAAGCCTCGTTTGAAGAAGGACATGTCATAGCGCTCGGGAAACACCGTGGAGAGGAGCTCATTCCATAGCCGGATGGTACTCAAGAATGATAATCAAGAGTCGTATAAACAATTGAAAAAAAAATATTCTCGAATAAATTTATTTTCCATTTGCGATATTTCTCAACTTAAAAAGGACATTCTAGTTTAAAATCTAATTTATTATGTTCTAGTCTAAGATCATAATCTAAAACTCTTTTTAGCTCAAGCCTGAAGCCAGAGAGATTTCTTTAATACATTTAAGTTGCATTTCCAAGTCGTTTATTGATTTGGTTGCTGTATTGTTGTGTATAGTTGTAGAATTTCCTAAAGAAGAAGAAGTTCCTTGGAAGCTCCTAACAATTTCACCAGATAGCTTTCAAATGATGTCTTGGCGGGGAGATTGTGTCTTCATCAAAAAGAGTTATCAGCGCTTTAATCCATATTACGAATAGCAATTTTCGGTTTGGCTTTCTTAAACACAATGTTTATTGTAAATCGATGTATAGGTTAATATTGAGTTAAAATTTGGAAATTTTATAAATATTACAACTGGTAATTACAATTACTATAAAAAAGAGCGAAACGCGGCACACAAATAATATTTTGTTTAACAAAAATATGCAACAATTTTAAATTTACATAGACCAGATTTTGCTGCACACATATTAAAAAAAATTGATAAACAATGATTTCAGAATCTCTATCTCTCTCTCTCGCTCTCTGGAATGCTAACTAGTAAATTTTCTTTAGAAGTATTCTGTTCAGAGAATAAACAATCGCGTATGTGTCGATCGCCCGGTCCATTTTCTATAAGGAAGACATCTCGTGGCATACTCACTCATGTGCACTGCTAAATTAAGATCCGTCACACACGAACAGCTTGTTAAAGCTAAATGCTATAAATAAAATCCTCGCCGGTGACGAAACACAACCTATTTACGTACGTTCCTTAATAAAATATCTCGTATCCAGTCAGAACAAACGCTATGGCCTCACTGCACTTGTAAAATAAACACACGCGCAAAATTTCAATAAACTCCGAAAAAAATAATTGAACAAAAAAAAACGTACGGTGTCCGGAATTCGTAACGCGTGCACGTCCGTTCAAATCGAAAATGGAACTGGTTTGACTCGACTTCCGTTCTCGCTCGTGATTGGTCGAAGGGAATTAAAAAGATCGTAAGGGCCAATAGAGTTGCATTCGATTGTCCGTTGGCAACGCCTTCCATTGGTCGGAGTCGCATTCGCCATTTTTCAGCTTTTGAAACAATTGAGGATTGTTATGTAGGCGTTGTGTTGACTGAGCGGCTGTTTTCTGAAAAGTGCGAGATATTTTTGTAGCGTCCCACAAAACTACATTTGGTCAGCAGCTGACTTGATTAATTCATTTATGTTTCAATCAAATGCGTTTAAGCAGTGATGACTATTTGAAATACGGATCTCTGTTTCGTATGGTAGAAAATTGTGTATGTAATTAAAAACTTATTTGAGAACACTAAGTGTTTTCGGCCCATTTTTTTTTCAGTATTTTACATTTCGATACACTGTTCTATTGATATAATCGGAGACGCCCACCGATGATGAATATAGTGTGTAATTTTTGTGTCAACTTATGTTGTTTTATTTATGTTTAATTAAAGAAAAACTAATTTTAGGCGCCATATTGAAGTCGAAATACATTTGTTTGTTTTGGCTAAATAATGGCCTGAAATGTTATAGATACATGGACAGACAGTATATTTTTTTTTGCATAATGATCTGATGACATTAATAACATTGATTTATTAAGGTAGGTACGCACCTAGGGACTTATTGCTAGTTTTAATGCGTGCATGATTATGATAAAACTGTTTTATTGGTTCCGAAGGCAAACTAACGACCACGCGTAATGAACGACCCAAACAGTGCACTAAAAATATACACGATCGGCTTGCTGCAAATAATCTTGTAGTTACTTGATGCATAAATAAAAAAAAAAACAAGTATGCGATGTTTTTTTAATAACAAACCTCCTTTTGTTGTGTCCGGTGAGAGAATTCTAAATGTTAAATCAGCTCTGTTCCAAGGCTATGTATTTCAGCTTGCATCGGGGTACATTTACGAAGGTCATGTAATTAAGGTCTAGTAGAACAAATTATGACAAGTTTTTTTTAGGCTTTATGCATAGATGGGTGGACGAGCTCACGGCCAACCTGGTGTTATATGGTTACCGGAGCTCATAGACACCCACCTAGAGACATGAGTTCTAAGGTCTCCGTTTTTACCGTACAAAGGCTGCCCCACCTTTCAAACAAAAACGCATTACTGCTTCACAGTAGAAATCGACAGGGTGGTGTTACACACCCGTGCTAGACTCACAAGACGTTCAACCACCAGTAAAATCTAAATTAAAAAAATCGATCTAGCCATTTCCTTACCGTTTGGGTTGAGCGGTATTTTTCTGTGGTTAGTAACTCTTTGGTAGAGATGGAGCTAATAACTGACATGTCTAATGAGTGAAGCGGATATCTAACTCTGTAACCAAAGAAATCATCTCAGAAAAGTAATTTCTTTGCTCGTTGATTCCTTTAATATCTGGACCTGGTTGATGCTCAACAAACTTAACAGCTTTAACACAGCTTACTGGTGGTAGGACGTCTTGTTGATCCGCACGAGTTGGTACCAACCTATTTCTGCCGTGAAGCAGTAATGCGTTTCAGTTTGAAGGGCGGGGCAGCCGTAATTAAAAGTGAGACCTTAGAACTCATGTCTCAATTACGTGGCGGCATTTACGATGTAGATGTCTATGGGCTCCGGTAACCACTTAAAACCAGGTGGGCCGTGAGCTCGCCCACCCGTCTAAGCAATAAAAAATCGTTTGTCTGTAAAGTCGGCTTACTGACGATAGTTGAACGTGACAACGTCATAAGAAAATACGCCTCAGAGCGAGGTAACGCCGCATGAGTCATGTTTTTTCGTGCATGCAGACGGCTCCATCGAATTATAAGACGTTATCACGTCAAAAAAATTTAAGACATCAACGTAGTTTTAAATTAGAGAAAATAATAATATTTTAAACACTCACAATTAAGTGTAGTTCTATTGAGTCTCTGGTCGGTGAACCTAAACAAACATGTTCTGTTTGATCATGTGGCCGGGACTTCGGTGCGGGAAGAACGCGTCGGCTCAAATGAGATCTTAATTAGAAATTCCGTTTACCGTATGTCGGAACGGTCGCCGGTTCTAATTCCGAAGATGGGTACCATTTTCGCAAATTGTTAAAGAAAAAAAAATAGAGCGGGAAAAGTTTAAGCGACTTTTTTTTTATTGCTTATATGAGTGGACGAGCTCACAGGCCACCTGGTGTTAAGTGCGACGAAGGGCTCGGCGAGTAAATTAACCCATAGACACAGCCCACTGAGTTTCTCGCTGGATCTTTTCAGTCGGTCGCGTTTCCGATCCGGTGGTAGATTCTGCAAAGCACTGCTCTTGCTAGGGTTAGTGTTAGCAACGTCACCAGGTTAGAGCCCCGTGAGCTCACCTACTCGCTCTCTGAATCTAGTGTAACCCCTCGAGGTTATTAGAATAGGTAGGAAAACAAAAGTGAAGGCGGGTCGATTTGAAGCGAAGCAACGAACGGATAAAATCAAGAAGGTGAAGAAACAGTGAATAGCCGGTCGTCTTGAAGTTGTTGAAAATGACGTTCAAAGATTCCATTACATACAAACAAGCGGGCAGGTAGGCAGCAACTTGGCTCTGCCCCTGGCATTGCTGTCGTCCACGAACGACGGTAACCACTCACCATCAGGTGGGCCGTCTGCTCTGTATATCAAGCTAATAAAATGTTAATAAGCCAGTGTCATCGTAAGGATCAGCAAGAATAAAAGATTCGTTTTTTCTAATTACCATAATATGAAAGGACTCTATATACACAAAATTTGAAAATGTATCTATAATACTGATTAGCTGCACACCTATTCGAGTATAATCAAAGAATATAATATTGACGTACATACACAGCATAAACAGAAAAAAATCTTATACAAATATAGATACTAATCTATATATGTATATAAATGAATTGCTGTTCATTAGTCTCGCTAAAACTTGAGAACGGCTGGACAGATTTGGCTAATTTTGGTCTTGAATTATTTGTGGAAGTCTAGAGAAGGTTTAAAAGGTAGATAGATATGAAAATGTTCGGAATTAAATAAAAGTAACAATTTTGTTTTTCCTTTGATGTGTCCCCCGTCGGACGGATTCCTTTTGTTTGTTTTAAGTTTATGTTATACAAAAGTTTAGGTCTTTTATTTATCGATTGAAGCACTACGAAGTCTGTCGGGTCAGCTAGTACGAAATAAAAAATCCATTACATATTTTTAATATTTCAACCGAAAACACGTTTTGATTTTTTATCTGTACTGATTCTTATGGGCCCTTCGTTGGCAGGTGTAGAATTATTCAAACAGAAAAACTTGGCTTAATTAAAAGCTTGAAGCTAGCGCTAAAATGTCAGAAGTTCGGGCTTGTTACATACTGGTCTAGTCTGAACATGTACAGGAAGGTAGCTGGTCGTTTTGTCATCCAAGAGCTTTGAGGCAAGAGACTCATTCGCGGCGCTAACCTCTTTCCAGTAAAGCTCTTTTAGGATAATGAAATCAAACGAAACCCATGCTACCGACCATGCGCGACATTTAAAACTTAATCAAATGATGCAGTTCCGACCCATCTGTGCAAAGGCGCCTCCAAGAACAAACACTCTCAAAGGCCGGGGGACCGCGCCGAGTTTGTTCATTTGAAGTCTATTCAATGTTTTAAAAAAAAAAAAAGGATGCGTGTCTTTTTTTTTCGATATTTGGTTCTCTAGAGAGTGGATTTATTGTAATTTTAAATCGTATATAGTTACCGTTTCTCGCTGTGTGGCTTTATAAAATAACACCACTCTTCTCGTGGATGTCGTAAAGAGGACTAATTGCACGTACAGTTTATTTTTAAGCGAGAGGAGGCATGTCCTGTAACACGCCTATATATTCTATTTTATTTGCTGTAACAAAGACGTAATAAAAATCAAGTATGTGTGTAGCAATCAACTGTTTTGTTAGCCCGAATCGAATAGAGAATCTCACATACGTTTTCACAATCCTACTCATTTATTCCAAAGAGGTTTTCGCTCTATACCTAATTCCAAAATTAAAGAGGCATATCGAAAAAAGCCATAATCCCCAAAATAATAATTGCTGTGCCATGCTCACCCCTATGCCTCGTTAGGGTGGACAGATGGATCGAAACCATAAGTTGGTAGTTAAACGCCATTAAACGCTTATTTGGCGGGCTTTGTTGTCTGTTTTGTGCGGCGCCTTTGTGCACGACAGCCGGCATCTTGTTCTCGATGTGTCAAGGAAGTGACGTTTTGGGGTACCGTTGCAATGTGAATAAAACCATAAAAACTATTAATACAAATTTATTTATTTTTTGACGTGACAACGTTTTATAATTCGATGGAGCCGGCTGCGCACACGAAAAAACATGACTCATGCGGCGTTACCTCGCTCTGAGGCGTTCCATTTAAGGCTTGAAGTGCAAGCGAGAGCGCGCAACGAGCGACAAAGAGGCACAATCGACCTCCGCGTTCGGCAGCGTTCGACATCTGTCTTTCTCCTACTTGAGTGAGCTATGCATCCGCATGGACAGCTGCTATACAATAATACATTTACATGTTTTCGTCAAGTATGAAGTTCAGTGAAAAGTGAATGTGGCGTCAATTGTTTATAGCAACGATAATTATGATAATTGAAAAATGAAACCGTTCTATAGTATTTTCTTATGACGTTGTCACGTTTAACTATCGTCAGTAAACCGACTTTACAGACAACCGATTTTTTGCTCACTTTTTACTCAAGTAAGAACATGCTGGAATGCTAAAATTATACAATACAATCATTTATGTACCATGTCTCTGGCAAATAAATCATTTGAATTTGAATTACAAACGCAACTAAGGTTATACATGTTTTAACCAGACTACCGAAGGTAGGTAATGTTTTTCGAGCGTATGTATGTCCAATTCTTGGGCACTGTACCACCTAAACCTTTTGACGTCATTTAGCATCAGATCTTACTGGTGGTAGGGCGTCTTATGAACCCGCACGGGTAGGTAT